TGAGCTGTTGTGCAAGACCTTCTATCCCGTCGGATCTAAACTCAGTTCCATGAGTCACCATGTGGTAGGCTTCAGTGATTTCGCGACATCGCCTTGTCGGTAAGCGACATCAGCAATAGGATTAGCATATTATCGTACTGAATTCATTTTATCAGTTCGAATACTTATGAGTTTCCAATAATTTTCGCATTCATCATGACTGTAGCCTGCTTCGGTAGTGAAGAGTTCCCTTGTGGCATTGAAACAGAGCGAGTTCATCTGTGAGTGACGTTTCATTCCCTATCCCAATAGTGTGTTTATTAAATATGACTAGAAGATGTGCACACCAGGTGTTTTTGACCAATCTTCTCACCTTCCGCGGAAGTGTACGGATCTTCTCAATTGGGGAATTTCTGCGACGGCTGAGACTCTTTACTGTTGTCTCGCGCATAATCTTCTTGATCTTCGTTTCTGAAGGGCACTTCGACCAACCAGATTATGAGGAGACTTGAGTGATAAAGATCGGCAAGCCAAAAGCCGATGCCGAATCGGGCATCGTTTTTATATTATTACAGGGAGAACGAAGCCATTGGCCGTACAGGAAGTGCGAAACAGAGAAAATAAAGAGGAAACAAGAGATACAAATACAGAAACAAGTACAAGTACAGAGCAGGTGGAGGACAAGAACTGCTGGCGGAAAGTCGAGGAAGGACTTGGTGGTGCAGTCGCGACAGCGGGAAGTAGAGACAAACGTGTCGAATGTGATGAAGGGCTATCGCTGACGTTGTTGTACATACGCCCGGCAGTCGTTCAACTCGCCATTGCATCGGAGGACAGTGTCGAGTTGCTGATATACACTTCGGAAGACTCGGATAAATTGCGGATAGCGTTGCATGGGCATTATCTAGCAGGGAGCAGACGCCCGGCTGACCATGGTCGATATCAAAGCCTGTGGACGCGTTACCGACACTGGACTAACAAGAAGGCAGACATAAGAAGCCAGGAGGGCGAGCAGGCCCACTTTGCGGTTCATTACTGTAATTGAGGTGTGGAATGATCTCTTGGTCGTACGCATTTTCCTCTGGACGGCTGTCGAGATGAACGATAAAAATACGAGACCTCTATGCTTGGTCGGATATGGTCGTGACGCTCAAGACTGTATGGAACCGCTTCTTTTGGTGACATCCATATGAACTATCTAGCACTTTCTGTCTCCTCACCACGCTAGGGAGTTGAAAGTCTTGAGACGGAGTGTGACGGAGGGAGGGATGGAGGGCTGGGAGCCCTTGACCTTCTTCTGTCAACAGGGATGGAAGAAACCGAAACATCGTCCTCACCCTCACCCAGAACGTCCATCAATTCGTCCGGTGGCTCCGCTTCCTCCATCGTTCCCGGAAGAACGATCACAAGGGATCTATCAAACGATTGGACGTCCGCTGATTGGGCCCGCGGCGTTCCTACGGGCGTTGAGCCGACCGATTCGCTTCTATCCCTATGGGACCCGTCACGTCCAGTCGTCAGCTCCGGCGTACTCCGGTTACTGTCAAATCGGAATGTGTCCTCGGTTGCCAGTTCATATTCTGGCATCAGCAGACTCAAATCCCGAGGCGGAGGAGTATCCCAGAGGAAACCCTCCTCTTCATCTTCTGTTTTTATGAGAGTGAAGTCTACCTCATTTTCTAGTGGATCTTCTAAAGTCGGTCGTTCTGATGCACGATCTGGAGATGGCGACCTCGTCGTCGTGTTTCCCTCGTCGCTTCCCGAGTTTGCGGGACGTGCGGGAGAGACGATGCTGCGCGATCGCAGCTGACGGACGTTGGTTGCACCAATCGTGTTGTTCAACGACATTGAACGTGCGTTGGATGGCCCCGCAACGGCGTCCTCACTAATACGCCGCCTCTTCCTTGGCCTATTCTCGTCTTCTTCGCCATCTACGTCCTCGACTCGGCGCTTGCCGCCTACCCGGACAGCACGACCTTGAGTAGTCGCCCTTCTAGTTTTTTTGCGGGTCCACCCATGCCCGCGCTTCTTGCGAGCTTTCGGCCTGGGAGGGAGTGGGAAGGAAGCATTCGGAAGGTCTGGACCTTATGTCAGCTCAATGCTGCATTTATGTATGGTGGTCTAACTCACCTTCACGAGAATTTTGCGGACTTTCGGTGGAAGATCCCGAGGCCTGTGGCTGGCTATCAAGGACCTCGGCTGAATAAATATTTTAAAATGAGGAATTTTGACTCGGAATGAGGAAGATGACTTACCATTTCTTTTACGTTTTGTTTCGCCGACATGCACAGCTTGCACTGTCTGGGTGTTAGAGGACGAGGACTGGTCCTCTTTAGGAATGACAGCTTGTAGAGCACCGTGGCTACCCATGCTAGTGCTGAAGGCATTGCCATGGATGTTGGCGGAGCCTTCAGCTTCGTTACTAAAGATGGCGATGCTGTCTCTACTGTTGGTCTCGATATTTCTTTCAGAATGCGAATATTGCGAGTCTCTTGCTTGTGTCGCCGGCGTTTCGTCGCTGCTGGTCGCCTCGACGTTAGTGTTCGCACGTTGTCTTTGCATCGCGCGAGTGAGAACCATTGTGTTCTATTGTATATGTGACACGCTGACGGGGGAAGTTGTTCTGAGGAATTGTTGTTGTGTGTGGGAAGTGGGGGTGTGCGGAGAGTGGGGGGTGTGTGCTGACTTAGTTGACTTTGACAGCCACGCTCTTTATATGATTTCACGATATGGTCCGAGCGTCATCAAGACACATCAGTACAAATCTAACCATCTTCGTTATCCATTGTCTTCTAGGCCTAATCATCGCCTATTTTTCAAGGGCGGATATTCCCAAGGCCACGATCAGTGAATATTGAAGGAAATGCAAAATGCAGTGCAATTTTTTGACGTGCATAGTCTGGTTATATTTTTCTTTTCTTCTTCCCTTGGACTGCCTCGTGCTTTACCCTGATCCTGTGGAGAAGAATGGAAAGGAGGGGGGTGGGAGGTGGGAGGTTACAGATTGATGGATTGGATTATCTGCAGTTTGCATGACTGTTGTTCTTTCGTAGCCGAATTGTCCAGTCCAAGCTATGCCTTTGGTCAGGAGATACTGTCGTAAGATTCGGACCTTGAATAATACAATTGTACTTCTCCCTCTTTTGACTCCTCGAATGATCTAGGGTTATGGCGCCGAGGACTCGCACGGCAACTATTTGTTTTGGCTTTATCCATAGATTTTTCTTTAGAAAGTACTTCCGTTCGACGTTAAGGAGTCTGTCAGCAATTTCTTGTGAATGGCGTGGAAGGCCCTTGATGCCTTCTCTTAATCAGAGCACTCCTGACTTATTGTCGAAAAGGAATAAGGAGCTTGTACACGGACTAAGCGCAACGCTTGAGCCTCGCGTTTTGACGCTCAATATATTCCTTTTTCAACCGTGAAAAATAAGAAACGCCCGATTCATCCTCTGTCTTTGACTCATTCCCCTCTTTTTATTGTCAAGAGGCTTTATGCCAACAGACGAATAACGATCTACTGGAAGGGGAAACTGGACAGGAAAATGGGATCAGTACAGCGAACGGCCATCGCGTTCATTCTATATTTAGAAGTTCACTTTGGTGGCTCAAAAGCGTGGGAAAAGAAGTTGCTTCCTCATACTTCGTACCTAGTACTTACCGTTGATTTTTACGCTGTGGTACGTTGAACAGTGATAAGTATATCAGATACTTTATGTGTCATATACACTGCTAGAAGTATTTATGTGGGGATTAATTGCCGGATTCTGCTTTAGTTGGTAAGTTAATGTTTGCCCTTATTTTATCTCCCTTCCAAGTAATCAATATTGAAAGAAATTATTGGTCTCTTACCATAATTACCCACGGGGCGTATGCTTACTCGCTACATCTTGATATAGTGAGTTGTAAGATGTGGAGCAATGGAGGAAGGGTTGACTGTCTGGGAGCCCTCAATTTTTCTCTATTAACAGAGATGAGAGAACCCAAAACATTGTCATCAATTTCACCCTCGTCCTCGCCTTCGACCGTAATAGCCACTGACTCATCCACTGGTGTCACTTCCTCTATTGTTCCCAAAGGAACAATTATAAGGCATCTGGCAAAAGATTGGATGTCCACCAACTGTATATGTAGTGTTTTGACAATACTGATTAGAACACTATGTGTACAGTATCAGCTCAGGTGTGCTACAGTGACTTTCATACAAGAATGTAACCTTGCTTGTTGGTTCAGTTTCTTACATCAGCATACTCCAATCACAAGGTAGTAGTGTATTGAAGAGGGAATCCTCCTCTTCATCCTCTATTTATATTAGTGTAAAGTCTACTCTAATGGCTAGTGTATCTTCTATTGTTGGTGCACAGTGTAGGGATGGCAACTTCACTATCCTGTTGCTCTTGTCATTTCCCAAGTTTGTAAGATCATCAGAAAGGGTAATGTTGTGTAATAGT